AAATGTTAATTATAGGGAGTAGCCTTTTGAAATTCTAAAATGTATAACTGATCATTAATAATTTATAACTAATAATTAATAGTATTTAATAATTTAAAAATAGAGAAAAATGTCTAAAATTTAAAAAAATAAATAAATAAATTTTCTGATCATTAAGGCATGTCACATCAGCAGGATGAAGATCCTCCTTTATATATAAGCAAATTATTATTAAAAAATAAATAATGAAATTTTTTTGATAAGAATTAAACAAATTGAATTACGAAACACCATTTATGCACCTATTTTGATTACCCATGTTACTGTTAATATGCACTTAATTAGTGCGCCAAAATTTAATACAGAAACTTCCACATAGAAGCATCAAAATTCAAAAGCATTATTCGAAGGCCCTACTGAAGAATAATTTAATCCATATTTTAATAAAAATGATTAACATTCTTATTGCTATCACCCGACGAAATTTTCTATTTTAAGAAGAATATGCTTATTGACGTTGTTATCAACCCATTAATGACAAAATTATTGCATTACAGAACAAAAGTGTAACTGAAATAACTTTGTTAGTATATTCCTCTTAATTCCCTAATTGTTTAAATTAAGCAGTACTATTCTTTTTAATTATTTTTTTGAAAAAAAAACAATTATTAATGTTGTATCACGTCTAACTTTGGTCATGAAACAGGGATCATTACAAATATAATCCGTTTTTTAAAGTCTAAAGACAACTCCATAACGAACTTATGTTTAATTTTAGCCAAATAATTTTTTTGAGTTTAAAAGCTTAAGCAACTCCAAATGAGTAAAAGGAATGATTTATATATTATCAACTAATTAAATAAAGAATTAAAGAATTGATATTGTAGACATTATTGATCGATACGAGTTTTGTTTATGAAGATGGAAGTCGTTGGAATCAATTAAAAAGGTTGACTTGTCCGGTTTAAAAATTCAAGAAATAATTTGTCATTTTATATCTATTTTACTTGGATTATCAAGTACTAGTTATTTTTTTATTCATTTCTCAATGAGTTAGATGACTTATAATAATTAAACGTGAATAATTTGTCATTTTATATCTATTTTACTTGTGAATGATATTCTACTAGAAATATTCTTGTTATTGCTTTGACTCAAATTCACTAAAATTACTGGACTCAACTCTAATAGCTCTGAATAAATTAAATATGTGCATTAAGATACGAAGGCTTCTTATTCCACAGTAATCGAAATAATTTTTCATATAGATATAAATATTCTTTTTTCATCTAATCATGTTGATTTAACCAATTAAATAATAGTAGTTCTTAGAAGTAAATTAAAATAAATTAATTTTCTTATAGATTTAAATATTCATTAAATTACACAAAAAGTCTTGAAATTACACTTTTATGCTATCATCAAAATAATACATTCCAAATACTAGTCAAATTTCTCTTTAATAAAAGAAAAAAATACATAAAATCCCTTCTAAACTTCGCAGCAAAACTTACTTTGACACTTTAACTTTATGAATAATTATTTACCCTCTAATCTTTTTTCAAGTGAATTAAAATACACCCAAATCGCTGACATGACAAGTCAAAAAAATAACAACGTGTATATACCGAAAATTAAAGAGAAAAAGAATAAGTGAACCCGAATTATTTTTTATTTAGCCAATAATCTTTCTTTTCTTCATCTTCTTCATACTCTAATACCACCCCCAGCCCTTAGTACCACCAAACCCAGCCCCACCTCCCGCCTTTTCATCTTCTTCACACCCAATCCACCTCTCCCGCCCTTGACCACCACTTGCACCACCCCTTTCCCGATCCTATTTATCATCTTCGAACCCCCACTCCCACCCTCTTCCTTTTTCTTCGGACCTCGCTCCCTCACACTTTTCTTCTTCTTTTTTGTTGAACTTTTCATCTTTTTTCTCCTTCTTCGAGACGCCCCCATTCCACCCTGATTTCCTTGATAGAAAACCCAAAAAGTGTGATGAACAAGGAAAAATTAGAAAAGCCAACAATTTGTTCTTGCTTCAAATTAAAATGGCAAGATTTGAATGTGATGAACTTGAAGCCTTTTTTAATGAAAATCTACAATTTTTTCATCTCAAATTAAATATTCAGTTGTTATTATTTCTTTGTTTTGATAATGTGTCTTAAAAATTGAATGTATTTTTGTGAGAATGGTTTTGAGATTTTGAATCTCTTTCAACTGAAAATTTGTTATTTTTTGAGATTATTTTTCTTATAATAATGGATTAATTCTTATTTTTTGAGATTTTTTGTTTACTTTCTAAAATTGTGAATAAATAAAAAGAAATAAAAAACAATTAAAAATTTAAATTTAAATAATGTTCAATGTGATGCTGATGTGGCGCTGACATATCAATGACATGGTGCGTGTGGAATACACTTACCATTGTGAGACTGATAATATTAAGGTGTATTTTAATTCACTTGGAAAGAGATTAGGGGGGGGAATAATTATCCGTAAAATTAAAGTGCTAAAGTAAGTTTTGCTGTCAAATTCAAGGGGATTTTATGTATTTTCTCTTAATAAAAAGAAATCCATAGACAATCCTTTCAAAATCGAAGTAGTATTTTGTTTGATGACACAATAATACATAGAATTATGTATTTAATATCACAATTCTTTAGCAGATTATTTAATGGTAATTGGTATTCATGATATCAAGTATATTACAACAAAATTTATATCATTCTATATAAAAAATACGTTATTAACGACCCTCAAGTTACTAAGAATATTTAGAAAATAAGATTAAAAAAATAAACAAAGTCACATTCACAAATAAACAATAACACTTCTATTATTAGCTAAGTTTTTTTCTAATTAAATCATTGATAAATCTTCTAACATGCATGCCTTCAAGAAAGTCATCAGAGATTCTTATTCATTAGTGACCATTCATGATTTTTTTCATTTGCACAGTAATCGAGACAAGTAGTGACCAAATAAATTATGATTAAGTTTTGTTTTTTTTTTCTCTTTTTTTATACATATGTTTATTAAGTTATATTTAATAAAAAGGATAATTGAAACGCTTAAAACATAAAAAAAAAACTAATCAAAACTTAAAAGTTTGGGGAATTTTAGTAGCTTTAGTTAGTTCACTTGTCTAAATTCAATTTTCCATCTTATAATTTTCTATTCCATTTTTCCTTTTTCGTATGTTAATTTTTTTTTTTTTTTTTAATAAGGTCAACACCTATAAGTGATGAGATGATTAAAGTTCCTCTTCCCTAAACATGAACATTGCAGCCAACTCCTTTACTTTTAAATTATTATTTTTTATTGTAAATGATAAAATATTATTATATTTTATAACTAAATATAAATATCCTAAATAATTGCAATTAGAATTTTTTAAAAAGTTTATCTTTATAATTTTTTCAATTTGTGTATTTTGCCAGTGAAATGTATATTTTAAGTGGACGTTTGACTATGGATATCATTTATCTTTATTTGGAGTTGAATTTTAAAAATCACGTTTAATTAAAATTTAACTGATCAAAATTATTTTCACTCCATGATACTTATTATAACAATTTTAAATTAATTCCAATTTGTATTAAGAGACAAATACTAACTCTAATTTCAGTTTGTTTCCAAATACCCACAGCTTTTGTCTCCTGTTAATGATAAAAACAAGAACCAACTGCTTAGGACAAAAGAAAACTTGCAATATACATTCATATGTGACCACAAAAACCCAAAAAGATCGATACAAAAAATTGAAAGTTGAATAAACTTATATATTAAGTAATAAAATAAAGGAAAAATCCTTTTGGCCAGATTTGGCCAGAAAGGTAAAATAACATATTTCATATTATGTTATTTTACCTTTTTAAATATTTTTACCCTTTTAGCTTTAATACCTTTTAATTAAAAATGAAAAAAGATTTAGTTTATTTTAAAATAAAAATGATATTATAGACTTTTGAATTTTTCTGGCCAAACTCTTGTCATTTAGCATTACCTTAAAATAAATACATGAACTAAAATGCTCAAGTGACCAAACTAACCTTATAATAGTGATTTTCTAAAATTTAAAATGAGAAAACAAAGTTTAAATCATACTCCATCAATTTCATATTATTTGACTCTTATTGACCTGACACACTTCTTAAGAAAACATTAATTAGAGATGTATTTTCTTAAACTAATCTTATTAATGATATGTTGGAATTCTAAATTTGACTACTATGAAAAAAAATGTAATAAAACTCTCTTGATTTGCTAAAATGAAACGAAGAAAGTATATTGTAAATTATACTAATATATAACACATCAAATCAAATATTGAATGAAATAATTATCGTATTATTAATTTCTACATAACCAATTCTCATATAACTTGTTTTAAAGTTTAAACCAAATGGCTCGTAAATATAATTTGTTTTTATAGATTTAGCAAACTTCACACTCTGCTTTAGATGATTGTTGTATATTATTTCATAATATATCGTATTGTATTGTGTTAATAAATACAATATATAAGTAAATCATATTATTTTTCATCGTTGCATAATATCACATATGAATAATCTAAAGAATAAATCTAAAATAAATTAGAATACAACGATATAACTTTTATAAAAGTATAAGGTAAACGATAGAATATAATTATTAAATAATAAATAAAAATTAGGTAACAATAGGATTATATCAAATTTTATCACTACACAAATAAAACATTTATTATTATCAACAAATAAATTTGATAATACAATATAGTAATAAAAATAACAATCAAAACAAATATTATATTTAAACTAACGACAAACTTCAACTAGATATTGTACTAGCTAACAAAGCATCTAACTAAGCTTCAACTAGATTGTTGTAATAACAAAATGAGATTCTAATTCCTATAATAACCTTTGCAACAGTACATCGATATGAAACAGAGTAGGGACTTAATCGTCATAACACAACCAACTCTGGCTTTATAATGAGTTAGAGAATCTGTAAATGATGCCCTTCGTTCCTTTTTGTTATCTACACATCATTTTCTCTCTCTAAACTTATATAGTAGTAGTAGTAGTTGCTTCTCTTGCGTTTTGTAGGTTACGGCGGTGGCTGGTGGAAGAAGGGCGAAAATCGGTGTACCGGCGGTGGTTTTGAGGTATACATTTCTGTGATTTTAATGTATCTCTGTTAGTTTAGCATTTTAGATCTAGCTGGTGCAGTGTTTTCAGTTGTGGTTTTTGTTCAATTTAGGGTTTTTGCTTTACATCGATTCTCCGATTGTTCTACTTTTAGCTGAGTTCACTTGATGATCAGATCTAACTGACTGTTGCTTTGGTTATGATTTTTTCTCATTTATGTTTTTTTTTTTTTTGCCTTGTTTAACTTTTTTGTGCTTTTTCTAGTCCTTGTTAGCATTGTTGTGCTGTTGCGAAGCTATGATGGATAATAGTGAATGCTGTGTGTTTGAGGGGTTTATCAATTGTATGCTCTGTTTTTGGTATGTTTGTTGTATAGACTGCTGTTCCGAAGTGAAATTTGGATTTCTTTCCTATTTCATCTTCTGGACTCTATTTAAGTTCGTTTTAATTTGATTGACCTGTTTTGACTTGGCATTGAGTTTAGGGAAGTAAAGAAACTATTGACTCTTGTGGTCTTTAAAATGAAAGATAGGTAGAATGTACCAAAATGTCCGCCTTAAACATGTCACGGTGAAAGTTATAATAGAGTTACCAAAAAAGGAAAAAAAGAAATTGAAACAGAGGGACTAAAAAGGAAAGTATGACAAAGAAATTGAAACAGAGGGATGATATGATTTATGTTTTCTTTTTTTGAAATCATTTCTGAGTTTCCCTTTATTATGTTGAATATGACGCTCTAAGTAGTGTTGCTGCTGTTATGTGGAGTGTAAGGCTGTAAGAACATGCTCTTTATATTTTCATGTATATTTTTCGATTAGTAAGGTTTTGTTCTTTGTTAATTCTCACCTATATTTTTAACCTTATTTGTCCTTATATCTATGTGTAACATGGATTTATTATTCTGTTCTATTTGTTTTACATGTTCTGAGCAATCTGTATGAGCATGAATTTATCTTTTGGTTTTGGGAAGGGCAAAATGTTTCTGTAAATCCTTCTCTCTGAAGCAGAAATGAAACTGATAACACTTTGTCCTTTTTAATCACAAAACCCCAGTTGGAAGCATTCTTGTCATCTTGTTTGAATTATGAATTCAATTTAGGTGTATTTTTTCTGGTTTTATTCTCTCCGGTTTTGAGATATGGAAATGGTATGAGCTTTTACTGTTTTGTTGTCCTATAGTACATTCTCTTTGAGCATCCACGGGGTGACCTAGTGGTTAATGAAGTGGGTCAAAGAACCATGAGGTTTCGGGTTCAAATCCCAGCAGCTGAGGCAAAAATACTAAGATATTTCTTCCCGTATGTCCAAACCTTGGTGGACCGAGTTATCCGGTATCTGTGCTGGTAGTAAGTGCCCTTAGAATTAGTCTAGGTGTGCATAAGTTGGCCCGGACAACCACTATTATAAAGAAAAAACATTCTCTTTGATTGCCTAATATTATGCCTTTAAAGTTTGGAGGTGTTCTTCTGTGAATTGTAACTGAATCTAGTTAATCCTATTATTTAGGATGCTGTTGCTGCATGAGATCATACAGTGAATTTTTTGTTTCTGTTTGCTATAGAAGTTGCTTGAACACGTATTGATAGAGGTTTAGCTTGTGATTTATGGGGGGTTTGGAGCCTATAAGTTGTAATCAGGGCTCATAGATTGATATCAGATAAGCTTTTTGATGAGTTCATTAATTGTGTTTCAAGGACAATGTGGCTGATCTCTACATGAAACATTTTTAAGTGATAGTTGTCCCTTTTTTTTGTTTTTTGTAGTTGCTACCATGGTGCGGAAGAGGAGAACTGATGTTCCTGGTGATGCTGAGAGCTCCGAGTCCCATGAAACTGGAGGGGGACGAGGTGGTGTCCAACGCCCATCACAACAGCAGCAGCAAGGTGGAGGTAGAGGTTCGGGACCTCAGCGTGGAGGATATGGTGGCCGTGGTGGTGGGGGAGCTCCACGTGGTGGAATGGCTCCTCAACAGTCCTATGGGGGACCCCCTGAGTACTATCAACAGGGCAGAGGACCCCAGCAGTATCAACGAGGGGGAGGACAACCCCAGCGTCGTGGTGGTATAGGGGGCCGTGGGGCACCTTCTGGTGGCTCTTCTAGGCCACCAGTTCCCGAGCTGCACCAAGCAACTGAGACTCCACATCAGCCCGTACCATATGGAAGACCAGCAGAAACATACTCAGAGGCTGGCTCCTCATCTCAGCCACCTGAACCAATGACACATCAAGTTACTCAGCAGTTCCAGCAACTTGCTGTGCAACCAGAAGCAGGTGCACCCCAAGCAATACCACCTGTATCTAGCAAGTCAATGAGGTTTCCACTTCGGCCTGGAAAGGGTAGTAATGGCACTAGATGCATTGTTAAAGCCAATCACTTCTTTGCCGAGTTACCTGACAAAGACTTGCACCAGTATGATGTGAGTGCTAACCATTGCTTGTTCTTCCAGTTATGATCTTCCTTGTATTATCTTGAGGGTCTTATCCTGATATTGTTTTCATCCTTTCTAATGGCTTTCAGGTTTCAATTACCCCAGAAGTAGCTTCCCGAGGTGTCAACCGCGCTGTCATGGAGCAGCTGGTAAAGCTTTACAGAGAGTCCCATCTTGGGAAGAGGCTTCCAGCCTATGACGGAAGAAAAAGTCTGTACACCGCAGGGCCCCTCCCTTTTGTTCAAAAAGATTTTAAAATCACACTTCTTGATGATGATGATGGACCTGGTGGTGCTAGGTATGCTCCTATGGTTTTGAGAAGTCAAGATACATTTTTTAGCAGTATTTAATGTATGCCTTTTCTAATTTGTGGGAGCAGGCGAGAAAGGGAGTTTAAAGTTGTGATCAAACTGGCTGCTCGTGCTGATCTTCATCACTTAGGGATGTTCTTACAAGGGAGGCAGGCTGATGCACCCCAGGAGGCCCTACAGGTTCTGGATATTGTTCTGCGTGAGTTGCCAACAAGTAGGTATGGTTCTTGACTGGCTTTAATTTCTGTTGTATGGTTCTTGACTGGCTTTAATTTCTGTTCGTCACAAGCATTGATTACTTCTGAATTGTTGACTTCTGTATTTATCTTTTCCCCTTGATTCATTGTTAACTGCAGGTATTGTCCTGTGGGCCGTTCTTTCTATTCCCCTGATTTAGGACGAAGACAACCACTAGGTGAAGGTTTAGAGAGCTGGCGTGGCTTCTATCAAAGTATTCGTCCTACACAGATGGGATTATCCTTGAATATTGGTCAGCACAACTTTTATGACTATTACATTTTGATTTCATGGCTTCATTTTGTCGAACTTGCAACCTATTATCAGTCAAGTACAGTACTTTTACCGCAATGTATGCCTGTAGGGGTACATGTTTCTCATCATTGTGCCCTTCTACAGATATGTCTTCCACAGCATTCATTGAGCCACTGCCGGTCATTGAATTTGTGAGCCAGCTTCTGAATCGGGATATCTCTTCTAGACCATTGTCTGATGCTGATCGGGTTAAGGTTGGTTTGGCATACATGATAGTCTCATAATCTACCTGATCTTTTTACTGTTCCCAGTAATTGATGGGAGCAATAAAAATAGAACCCATTTATTATATATATAGAATTCTTCTCCTGCAATTCCCTTTAGATATCATTTCATCCAAATAAGGATTTATTTCTAACAGCATCGACAATGATACATTCACATATTAGAGCCATTTCCTTTTCTTTTTTTTTGGCAGGTTGTTTGGTTAATTTTGTTTTTAACACTATTGAACTGCAGATAAAGAAGGCCCTGAGAGGTGTAAAGGTGGAGGTCACTCATCGTGGGAATATGAGGAGGAAGTACCGCATATCTGGTTTGACATCTCAAGCAACAAGAGAGTTGACGTATGTATTTCGCTTAAGTCTGTAATTATGATGAAACAATTTTCTCTATATCATGTCTTGTCCATAATATTTTACAGTTGGATCAATTGGTGCAGTTAGTGGTGTGCCATCTGATCTTTAATGTTCTGTTGTCTGTATGTGGGATTAACTCATCGTTCTAATCATTGTATTTTATTTGTATGGGTAGTTTCCCTGTTGATGAAAGAGGTACAATGAAAGCTGTTGTGGAGTACTTTCGAGAAACCTATGGTTTTGTTATTCAGCATACTCAGTTGCCTTGTCTTCAAGTTGGAAATACACAAAGGCCAAATTATTTGCCTATGGAGGTGGGTGTCTTTTATCTTTAAAATAACTAGTTATTTTCCAAGTATCTTGTGTATTTTATGTGCTTACATATCTTGAGTCCAGGTCTGCAAGATTGTGGAGGGGCAGAGGTACTCCAAGCGCTTGAATGAGAGGCAGATAACAGCACTTCTGAAAGTGACCTGCCAGCGTCCTCAAGAGAGAGAGAATGACATTCTTCAGGTTGGATATTGCTTCCAATACTGTTTTGAATACTCCTTTTCCAAATGATGGGGTTTATTGCTAGTGCTGTCTGATTTATATCCCATGTTTGTTAGTAGCTTTATGTGGACCTTGAAGCAATTAGCTCTCTTTCTTACGCCTTCCGCACCCAATTGATGTGATACACTTTGACTGGGTAAAAAGTTTAAGAAAGGATGGGAGGCTTTTGAATCTTAGGGGTTGTTTGGTTGGGAACAAGTTATCCCGGGATTAGTTATCCTGGGATTAGCAATCCTGAGATAACTTATCCCACCATGTATATGGGGTAACTTATCTCATCACTATGGTATAAATGGTGGGATAAGTTATCCCAAACATGGCAACCAAACAAGGCACAATTTTTTTTATCCCATCACTATTTCTTTATATCCCTCACACCAAATGACCTCTTACAGTCTAAAACAAGGCATATATATTTATGTGGCTATAAATTATCTCATTAAGAGTAAAATGAGAATGTTTAAAAGTTAAATTCTTTTAAAAAAATGTAAGGCATCATTTTTTTTGGGACAAACAAAAAAAGAATGTGCATCACATAAATTGGGACAGAGGGAGTAAGTTTTATTGCCTAGCCAGTCATTGTATTTGCTTGTAAATGAATCTTATGTCTGTATAAGTTTCTCTCCATCTGAGCTTTCAAAGATGTACTGACCTACGTCATCCTATTTTCTACCATGAAGAGGAATACAATGACAATATGGTAGTAACTTTCCAGGCTTTCCATGTGCTTTCTAATTTTTAAATGTAAAATCCGTGGCGAAGGGAGTTGGAATGAGCGAGTAAGGATTCATATTTGTTTTTATGAGTATTAAGAAGTGTAGTTCATGGTGATACAAACAGAAGGTCTGTAATCTCCATAATATTAGTGCTGTTTCTAGTCAGTTAGTTTACTGTGAATTAAAACAGGTGTTGTTGACTTCTGCCTTTTCACTATTCATCTCTGCTGTTTGTGCATCATAGAATAATTATTGTTTTTGAGGATAAATTTCTGGCCTTTTTGCAATATTATTTGTATTTACCATGATTTGTATTTACCACAATCTAATCCTTTTCTTTTGTTAGACTGTTCGTCACAATGCTTATGCTGATGACCCATATGCGAGGGAATTTGGTATTAAGATTAGCGAGAAGCTTGCTCAAGTTGAGGCTCGCATTTTGCCTGCACCTTGGGTAAGTTATTGCTCTCCTTTTCTTTGTTGTGATCATGTCATTGAGGATGATGGGTGTCCCTTATCCTTCTGGATTTAGATACTCTTGCTTCAATTCTTTGCTTTGTGGAGTGAATTAAGTTTATTTTATGATTGTTAAATTATGTTTATTGTTTCTGCAGCTTAAATATCATGATACAGGTCGAGAAAAAGACTGTCTGCCACAAGTGGGCCAGTGGAATATGATGAATAAGGTAACTGGTATTAGCGTGATTGAGATTCATGTTGCCAGTTTGACTCTCATTTCCTTGCAGTTAAATGCCATCTATTGGTGTGTGTTCTCACAAGATTAGTCTTGCTTTGCCTCTACTTACTATTTTAAGTCCCCAAGTGAAGTATCAGTTTAGTTGTTCTTGCCTTATTTATACCTGTCTTTACTAGATATAGCTTATGATAGAATAACTAACCTTAAGGAACTTAAAAGTGTGCTTTGTTTTGTCCTTTCCTTTTTAATCTTGTAGATATCCTGGAGCAATTTCATCATGTATTGGTGGTCAAAAATTAGTTTGGTTACTCTTTATTACCCATTCCAGACAGTGTATGTTATGCTGTACCCTTAGTGATGCAGAGCTAAATTCCAGTTTTCTGATCCCACGGTTTGATCAACGTCAATAAGATCAATCTACTTAGCTGCACCTTAGGATGATATAGCCATAAAAGTGTATAGCGGGGTTTGAACAAGGAAAGACTTCTGGTGATAGCTAGGCACTCAAAGACAGTGAAAGGGAGTAGTATCAATGAAACAGTTGGGAGGTGCATAAGAGTTCTGGATGGATTCCACTTCCTGTTCATAGTTTCCTTTTTCTCTGAAGTACATTTTTTTGCTCTATTCTGTGTCGATTTTCAGTCAATGTTGGAGCTTAACATAAGAATTATGCTAGTTTTATATCTCAAATAAGCTGCCTTTCTGTTGAATTTCAGTTAGTGTTGGATGTGCTTTGGTTATTTACTCTACTTTATTGTTATTGACAGAAAATGGTTAATGGAGGAACAGTGAACAACTGGATCTGTATAAACTTTTCTCGCAATGTGCAAGACAGTGTTGCGCGGGGATTCTGTTCTGAGCTTGCACAAATGTGCATGATATCGGGCATGGTAATTTGGAAGTTAAAGTTTTTCCATTTTTATTACTGTATCTTTTTTGGTGGTCCTGCGACATAAAATTTTAAGATACTATTATGTCTTTGTAGATCTTCAACCCCAATCCTGTTCTACCACCAGTGAGTGCTCGCCCTGATCAAGTTGAGAGGGTCTTGAAAACTCGATTTCATGATGCTATGACGAAGTTGCAGCCGAATGGGAGGGAGCTCGATCTGTTGGTCGTCATATTGCCCGACAATAATGGCTCCCTTTATGGTACAGGCCAAGAATGGTGAAATTCATGTAGTGTTTCTTTGCAAGCTCCTGGAATATGCTACAGCTGAAATATTTTATTTCTTTGTCTAGGTGATCTAAAACGGATTTGTGAAACTGATCTTGGCATTGTCTCGCAATGCTGCTTGACAAAACATGTGTTTAAGATGAGCAAGCAGTATTTAGCCAATGTGTCCCTTAAGATTAATGTGAAAGTTGGAGGAAGAAACACCGTGCTTGTTGATGCGATCTCTAGGCGAATTCCCCTTGTCAGCGACCGCCCAACTATTATTTTTGGTGCAGATGTCACCCATCCCCACCCTGGGGAGGATTCTAGCCCGTCCATTGCTGCGGTAGGTTGTTGTGTACTTCATTCTTTTGGTTTCTTTGATCCTCTTGGTAATCTATTTCTCCAAAGCAAATATAGTGCTCAATTTTCATATCTTTTAGGTGGTTGCTTCTCAAGATTGGCCTGAGATTACTAAGTATGCTGGTCTGGTTTCTGCTCAAGCTCATAGGCAGGAGCTTATACAAGATCTGTACAAGACTTGGCAAGATCCAACTAGAGGAACTGTGACTGGTGGCATGATAAAGTATTGTCCTTTTCCCTTCCCTTTTTTGAAAGAACATGCCCTAATGTTCGAGTTTTTATTCTACTGGACTTAATTTCGCTTCTGATTGATGCTCTTATCTTATCTCTAATTCAGGGAATTGCTTATTTCTTTCCGTCGAGCAACTGGACAGAAGCCTCAGAGAATAATTTTCTACCGGTATTGATGATTAACCCTTCTATGCCTGCATTTTGCAATTTTCTTTTTCCTTTTGGGCTGAAATTAATCGTCTTTTCCCCCCTCAGAGATGGTGTTAGTGAGGGACAGTTTTATCAAGTGCTTCTTTTTGAACTTGATGCAATCCGCAAGGTATTTTCCTTTTTGCTATATCTTCGTCTGCCTGTTTATTATCAACTCAGAATTTCTTTCTATTTTCTGGACGATGAGGATGGCTAGAAACAAGCTTTCCCTTTTACTTGTTAGAAGTTCTGAACTGACTTAAAATCCAATTCAGGCCTGTGCATCTTTAGAACCTAACTATCAGCCCCCAGTTACGTTTGTCGTGGTTCAAAAGCGTCACCACACAAGGTTGTTTGCCAACAACCACCGTGATAGAAATGCTGTTGATCGGAGTGGGAACATTTTGCCTGGTGAGTGTTAATCTCAGTATCTCTGATGATTCTATAATAGCTGCAAATGATCCTAAAACCTTCTTAAAATGTAATTGTGAAGGTACTGTGGTTGATTCAAAGATCTGCCACCCTACTGAGTTTGATTTCTATCTCTGTAGCCATGCCGGCATACAGGTAATAAGATAGATATTCTATAAAAATATGATAGTCATGTATAAAGGACTCGGTTGCAAGTTTCCAGATTTTGTGGTATTGCAGGGTACTAGCCGGCCAGCACATTATCATGTCTTGTGGGATGAGAACAATTTCTCTGCTGATGGGCTGCAGTCTTTGACCAACAACCTTTGTTATACGTAAGTTGAATCAGAGCTTCCATAGTTCTTTAAATCTCCAGCATTCTGATGGGCTTTAATCATTTCTTGTTTTTTTCAGATATGCTAGGTGTACTCGTTCCGTCTCCATTGGTATGTTCACTGCACTTGTTAATGGCTTTTCTTTAGCATCTATTTTCGATGCCCAATCCAACCCCTCTCTCCCCAGTTCTTTTGTGGATTTTCTTTGTATGTAACCTGTTCATCATAGCATGTTAGTGAACTTGAGTTCATTGATGTTGTTTGCAGTTCCTCCAGCCTATTATGCACATTTGGCAGCTTTCCGTGCTCGTTTTTACATGGAACCAGAGACATCTGATAGTGAATCTGTCACGAGTGGAGCTGCTCCGTACAGAGGTGGTGTAGGAGCTGTTGGAAGGAGCACACGAGCACCAGGTGTCGGTGCTGCTGTAAGGCCCCTTCCTGCTCTCAAGGAGAATGTCAAAAGGGTGATGTTCTATTGTTAGAAGTCCTCTCTAACCAGGCTATATGATATGGGCATTGATTGACATGCTGGTAGTAATGTCTTTTCAAATTATATTTGTGATTTATCACCACCTTGGCTTTGACCTTGATGTTCATTTAAATTTCAGTTGTGAGTTTAACAGTAGTTTATTCGCAAGTGATGTTTGTGGAATTGTGGCATTGAACAATTGTTATTGAAGAGCATGGCTAGTTATTTAAGTGCCTATTATTTTCCTTTTTGGTATTTCTCTACATAACATAAAAGGTCTTGAAAGTCGGGTGATTATGCGCCATTTTGTGGATGTCAATTGAAGACTGCAAGTTTCATAGTAAGCCTGGGTGTCAACTTAGCCCATGAAAATACGACTCACTCAACTGTAGCAAGTGCGCCTATAGCTGCACGGAGTAGGGGAGTGCAAGTAGATAGATAATAATTGTCATAGACATTGTTAGTGTTCTTAGGAATTTCAATGGCATGTATTCATAGACCTAGTAAATGCAAAAATACTCACTAAGTTGAAATTTACAGTTGCAGACTAAAAAACGAGGACTTGCATTTTCTTCCACGGTTCAAGCCTTCAAGGTGACCATTGAAATCTAGATAATCAGCCTCAGCCTCAGCCTCATACTCTTTGAAAGATTGTCTGGTAGGATGTACTAGTCATAGTATTATTTAATCTTTTGTTTGGTAGGATTTTTAGCCTATGTATAATAATACACCCTATTCAATAACATAGGTTGTATATAACTAATATATAAAAAAACCTTGATATTAACAATACACGAGCTATTAACACATGTATAAGCATGAGTAAAGACAAAACTGCATTTAACACACTAAACTAAACAGTGAATAATGTGAAATAGTCCCAGCATTATTACTCCTAGTATTACTAATACACTCCATTCAATACTTACTTTTCTTATACACTCTACCAAACGATCCCTCAAAGTACAACATGTATTTCAGAACTTAGTGTGGTGAAAAGCTATCTTTTTTTATGCAGCAAACTTTAAGTTGAAACACCCTTTTTTCTCATGTTAACAATAGGTTTAGTTGAATTCAGGTGCACAAAGGAAGATATCAAGCTTTTTAACCCTGTCCCAAAACTTAGGAACTTTCTTTCCAACTTCAGCACCAATAGTTTTCTGCTTCTCACCCTTTTTGGCATTGCCAACAACAGCCTCTTCAGGCACTTTAAAGCAACCCTTCAACCCCATCTTAGACTTGCTCCTTTTCTCTTCTTCATGCTTCAGTAGCTGCTCATAATACTCATTGTTCCTACTCTCCAATCCATATATCTGACCTTGAAGATCCTCAACTTTTCGACTAAGCATGCAAACTCTATGATCCTCCCTTCTGTTTAGCATGCACCTTGCAAGCTCAGCTACCTTCCTCTTCATGAACAAAGACTCTGAAGACAACCCCTTATTCTCCTCCATCAATGAAGCCACTTTGTATCCCAATCTCGCGTTCTCATTTAACAAGATCAATCTCTCTGATTCCAACAACTCCAATAAGCTTTCCTGCAACTCTATCTTCCTTGATGACTCGTTGCAAAGCTTGTCGACTTGACTAAGCTCGTGCAGGATGATTTCACAGTCAACACTTCTGATCACCAAGTCTGCAATGATCATATCTGGTTCCAATTTGGCTTGTGTGGATGGAAATGGAGGCTGATATGATAATGAACTCTCAGCATCAGAATCAACAATCTCCGATCCATTGTTCTCTTCCTTGTCAAATTGATCATCATTATCATGATCAAAATGGAAGGATGGAATAGGAAAGGAATTTCGACGATGATGGTTCTTGGCAAGTGCTTGGCAATAGCGGTCTGCCAAAGAGAGATAGTTGTCATACAATTCTTGAAGTAAGGCCAGAAGCTGTGGCCGTTTCTGGTAATAGGCATCAGCGCGTCCTATAAAACTGTCAGCATCATCTTTATTAGGAACGTTCACAACCAACTTCTTCATTTTCTTGTCCAAATCTGAAGAAAAGACCACAATCCAATCAAATAGATATATGATATTGACTTGACAAGTGAAGCATTTGAAAATTTGAATTTTACACATCTTTTAGATTGATGAAATCCAAGTTAAAAAATGGACCCTTTAGCTCTTGCCTGGACCATGAGCAACAGTGACAGATGTTGACATAGGTGACATTGAAATTAGTAGTTTGAATTCAAAAAAATAAAGATAACTGCTACCTATTCATTAACTTATCATTTTCCATACATTCACAACAACAACATATCTTGAAATTCTATGAGTGAAGTCGGGGAAGGTAGAGCGTACACAGATCATACCCTGAGTCAAGAGTTTATTTTCAAATATATATTAAACTATATCCATACTTTTTCTCCGCACATATATACACAAGGTTAACAATAGTTTTTTTCAGGATATCAGAGTGCATTAGATTTTTTGTACCTAAAAGCTAGATGTTGATTCAGAGTTTAGACATTGTAAGTTTTTAGTCGAGTAAGATAATTTTCTAATGTATTACTCCCTCCGTCTCATTTTTACATAACATCCTTTGCTTTTTAATTCATCCCAAAAAAATTTCACCTTACTTTAACTATAAACAATTTAACTATAAAATTTTCCTTTTGCCCTTAATGAAATGATTACAAGTACAATATATTTAAGAATTTGTTTAGACCACAAGTTTCAAAAGTGTTTATTTTTTTCTTAAACAGCATACCTGGTCAAACAGTGTCACATTAAATGAGACGGACTGAATACTAATTACTAAACTCTATCCATACTCACACACATATATATATATATATATTTAAGGTTTGACATTGAAACATTGGATTAGATCGAATCTATGAAGCCATGGTGAGATCTGCCAACCGGGCAGAAGGATTAAAGGTACTGTTAATTCTGCTGAGGAAACAGACATTATTTTCTTTCTGCAACACAACAGAATGGTGAGATACATCCCTTTTAGAGGGAGGTCCTACAATTCAAATTTCAAAAAAAGAAGCGTTTTTTGCATACTCTTTAAGCCTCAGACAGAAACAGAAAAAGTAGCAAAAGGACATAACCTTTTTGAAATAAGCATAGGTTTATCATAAATGAGAAGAAAATGACACTTCATATCACATGACACCTTCTCTTCATACACTTCCAAATGAAAGATAAATACAAAATAATGGACCCCATACCCCCACCCTCTTTCTCTGTGTCTCACACTAGTCCAACATTTGGACGTAATAATCGCTAGAATTTTGAGTTTATGCGCTATGAATTTTAGATTTATTTACGCACATATTAAGTGGATTTTGAAACACAAATACAAAGTTTGAATTAAAACTATTGAATGAACATGTAAACGAAAATTACAACATGTAATTACCGGCAATAGTGCAGAGAAGCCAAGAGGGTCTACTGAAGCTCCTCTTCCTTGAATGCTTTGAAGCAGCACCAGTTTTCTCTGCCTTCAGTTTTGCTTCCATTTCAGCAGGCAAAACAGGGCCTACCCATCAAAAACATTTTACTATGCCTTCTTTCATCAATCAATACAATAAGTAAATAATGCAAAGAGATACTATAGTTATTTATCCATAATAAATGATAGGGGTAGACGAGGGATTGCTCAGATGATAAACATCCTCCAACCCTAATCCTAAAATTGTGGATTCGAGTCACCAAGGTAACTAAAAAGGTGTAAAGCTCTTATGAAAGCATAAAAAAAATAGGGTCAAAGTATATACGAACATCTTTTTTTCCTATAAAGAGGACATGATCACAAGCGTGGTTCATCCAAACTGCTATCGTCGATTATTCTTTTTTAGGGATAACGGTCTGAAAAATACCCCAACTTTGGTCGGATTTGCTGTTGCGATACTAAACTTTCATGAGGACCTATTACCTTCCTAGACTATTTAATACCGTATTTTTTAACCCCTGAACTATTTAATA